CCACGAAACTACTTTTGAAACGAGAAAAAACTAGGCGCATTCAGGAAGTGCAAGGATTATAAGCCAACGACGATATGCCTAGAATATCCAGATTTAAGGTTGCTGTTATTATAGTTAGCATCGGTCGCAGCTGGAGTACATTTCCTCTACGGGGCTTTTCGATCTCAACTAGCTGGTCTTGGCTCTTCGGCCATTTGTGCCTACTCTCGCGCCACCATCTCCCATACAATGGGATCGGCATTTCGCAATAGGAAAGCAAATTGCCCGAGGGCGAATGATACTTATGAGCATACCTACATCCGAAACAACCCGCTAGTACCTACCAGTAAGCATTCTGATACTTCAGTTTGAATAGTCAAGAGACCGGACTTTACAGAGCTCTCTAACTCTCCGCTATTTGTACATTATGGTAGTGACCGATTTACAGAAATTTTAGTGCAGGAAAACGTCGTGGGTAAGTTTTCAAAACATCTTTTGGCCCTTTCAGTAATTACGTTCTTTCCTAGACTTGGCTGGTCGCCATAGTACGGTCTTCTTCATCGCTACCGACCAAGGCAGAATTTTCAAAGTCGTTAAAAATGCAGCCAAAGCAGAAGCACGACATGTTAGCTCTACAAAAGCAGTTGAGGTATATCTTCTACAAACCTTTTACTTTCTACTAAAAAAACGTTCTTCAGGCCTCATCGCCTATCATTTCTCTTACGTCACATGTAGAGCGGCGACCAAATCAGCAAACAGCTAGAAGTCTTCTCATTCTTACAACGACACAGGTAAAATTTTGTACTGGAAAGAGTCTCGACAATGTTTAGTGCTCCGAAATCTCTTCCTCAAGTTGTTCACTTTTCAAGTCAACAAAATCGCGTAAATATTTCATGGACATGCATTTTTCGGTAAATACCAGCATGCGGCAGAAAATTGGTATACAAGATGTCTCAAAAAATGTGCCTACTGTTTGACTGTGAATAACTTTCTTGTCATGAACTTTTGTAAACCTCTTGATACCATTTTGTAGAGCTGGATTCTAATCAGATATACAGTATGGAGATTACCATTCTCTCTTCATTATTGTAGGTTATGGCAGAAACCTTGAAGATTGTTTTGCGTCACTGAGCATTACATTTTACCTCTAAAAAGGACTAAAGAAGCTGAAGTTCTACAATAGGTTAGACAAAGTCCACTTCACTAACACTTTCCACATAAGTTATGCCAAATATACCATAATGAACATACCTGATGTTTGTCAAGAATTTGATTATGCCTTTTAGACAGCTCTACGAATAAGCAAAAAGTTACGTAGTGAAATCGGCATGCTTGAAAATCTAACACAATATCACATTTTTCTTGAAACCTTTCTCCAAACC